TAAATAATGAGTCACATTCTGAACAATTCAGTATAGGTCATTACGTAGAAAAAAGTCAAGGGAATTGTGCACGTACAGTGCAACACCGCCACCTGTCCTATTTTGTCTATTTTTCTTAACGCATGAGTAATCTTTTATGTGCATATCAGGACTCTGATCATTTAACCATGTTTCACTAAAACCAAGCACATGGAATTGGAAGTTAAGAATATTTATGAAATCAATCATTTGGTCAAAATTTTTAGCGAGGCTTCGAACATTCTGGTGAAGACATGAAAAAGTATTTCGACAATTAGTCAGTTTGTATTTTTCAACAAACTGGTCCGACAAGAGGTACTCTGATGTGGTATAATTTGTAGCATAGTAATTCATGTCTGGATCGATATCACTATTGCCAGCAAGTTTCTCATTACAAATAAATGGATTAAATTTTAGGTTTTTTAGTCGGTCGGCATCGATTTTAGTATTAGTTTTAAATTCAACAATTACCAAATCAAAGTCCTGAGATAAAAGATGATTAAACGGTAATATTTGAGGAAAGCAGTTTTTACAAGTTCCACAAAAATCGTACCAGTCATGCTTATCAATTGATTTACAACATATGCTGCATTTATCAGTTACGTTCGCCATTACATATTATGCAATAGGTTAAGTAATGCATTTCTAGAGCCAGCCGGGCAGTAAAGGGTACAATAAGTATGTAAATGCGTCCAGCCGTCTTTACTAACAGGTCGTTTAGGCGAGGTGTGGAATTCGAATTGTGTAGCCAGGGTGATTGTAAACAAGCCAAGAGGTAGGTATGCATGAAGCTTAGAAACATACAAACATCAAAACACAACAAAATATACACAAACAGGGGGGGGAAAAAACCAACAAGTGGATGAACTAATGTAAGATTTAGATTGAGGAATTGACGTGGACCGGGAAAAACCAACAAATTATACTGAAGACTAATACATGTATAAATTAATTGGATGGCACAGGGTATTCAGGTTTTATTAGATTGTGATTAGGAGGCTGTGCCGGTATACTTTCTACCCTGGATGTAGAGCTGGCCACTTCGGAATATGACACGTTGACCGGCGTCATAGGCTCGTTTCATGACATCTTGGAGGGACCTTTTCTTGGCGACATCAGCAGCTGGTAGGTCTGGGAGGATGAAGATTCCCGTGCTGGCAAGCTTGGACTTGGACCCCATCAGGACAGTCTGGCGCTCATAGCGGTACAGAAATCTGGCAATGATGTGCCGGGACTTGTCCGATGGTGATGTCGGTGCTCGACCGGTGCGATGTGCTGCCTCGATTTCTACGTCCAGCATGCCGAACCTCTCGGTCAGGATTTTCTTGACCGTGTCGTACGGGTAGGTGGTGGGCTCTGTTGGGTTTTTAGGAATTCCCCCAAATCTCAGGTTGAAGCTGCGGGAGTGTCGTTCCAAGTTCAGGGTAGCTTCCTCCAGTTGATTTATTCTGTTAATGGATGCGTTTAGCTGTGCTTTCAGATTGGAGACGCCATCCGACTTGATCTTATTTTTGTCTTGAATTTCGTCGATGGTCTTAGACGAGAACTTGATTGCCTCCTCCATCTCGTGTTGTTCGGTTTCCAGTCCATGGATCCTCGTTAAGAGAGATTCCTGGTTTGAGATCACCTTGTCCAGTTTGCCATGAAGATCAGATGCCAGTGATTGAATTTCCCGCCGCAGGCTGGCTATTGCATTGTCCGATGATGACGCATCAGGCGATCGGGGTTGGTCACCTGACGGGATTGGCGCGAGAGCTGGCTCTGTTGATACTGATCCTTTTTTGTCCTTTTTGGGAGGCATATTGCTTGCGTTGAACTTGGGTGGGTCGGGAATATGATGACTAAATAGTGTATACTCACAAGGTGGATGGTGACTGAGATGGAGGAGCTTTATTGCAAAATAATAGTTGATTTTTCCGGAGCACTTTTTTAACACGTCAATTCATGATGAAGCGCCCTCTGCGTCTTTTGAGTAGGGGTGTGTAGGTTATGACATTACAATGCAGAAGGATGCACTCTGATCTGTGAGAGACTGAGGGACTGAGGTTTATTGAAAGACGCTCTCACCCTTTAGCATAATGGAATGGTTCGTGCTGCCACTGAGGCAACATTGCAGCCGATCTCGGAGCGGCACGGAGAGCTAATTTTCTTGAACTGAAAATTGCAATTTTCAGACGTTTAACCTATTGATTTTAAGCCAAAATCTTGCTTCTGTCCATACCGTATGGGTTACATACTGCTTTTGTCACTTTTAATGCATTTTGGATGTGTTGACGCTGTGTTGAGGCTGTGTTGACGCTTTAGTATGACAGTCACAGACTGATGTGGATAAACCAAGTTTTGTGTGCATTTACATAGCGGGCTGGTGAATTTTGATTGAAGTAATCAGGGTGATGGGGTCCGTCTTGACTTGATGTGCGATTTCCAATTACAATGGGTATGTCGAAGTTGAAGTAAGTGGATCGGCGCCTACGTATCCCAGCCTTGCATCCACAACGAGTGCGCCAAAAACAACAGGTGCCAGTGATCAGTCCAGAAGATTTGGATGGTGGATGGATTGGACATGTTCTGGGTCCAATATCACTGCAGATTTCAGCAGGAAGAGGACATGGACGGCAAAGATCGGGTCCATTATTGAAGGAGTGCAGGTGTATTGGCGAATATCTGCCTCACTGGGATGAAGCAGGAGCCATTGAGGAGTCCATTGGCAGATGCAGTGGCATTGTTGAATTCAATGGGAGACAACATTGGTTCATTAGCATATCAAGTGCTGCACTGGTGCTGGAGGAACATCCAATTGTTACCAGCAGAAGGTGTGATCTACTAGTCACAAAAGATACCTGACGTCTTGGTGCGCAGAAAAACTGCTAAAGCCCCAAATGCACAGGAAAGGAAGGAAAAACTCCCTTAAAATGCTCCCAAACCAGATGTTACATATATTCTGGCTCACCATATTAATCAGTTTGCGCTAAAGTTCAACTTGACATGAAGACATGACTGGAAACACCGCTAAGAAAGAGGAAATCAGTACATTGGTGGAGAGCATGATGAGGAGCCACCAGTTAGTAGCACTGCACTCTATAACATCACTCATGTCAATACAACAATCAACAGCCACACAGTAGCCACAGCTGTTTGACAATGCCTGCCACTTGCATACAATACTTTATCTGGTCAATACAACAATCAACAGCCACACAGTAGCCACAGCTGTTTGACAATGCCTGCCACTTGCATACAATACTTTATCTGGTCAATACAACAATCAACAGCCACACAGTAGCCACAGCTGTTTGACAATGCCTGCCACTTGCATACAATACTTTATAAGGTCAATGCAACAATCAACAGCCACACAGTAGCCACAGCTGTTTGACAATGCCTGCCACTTACAGACAATTTATCAGGTCAATACAACAATCAACAGCCACACAGTAGCCACAGCTGTTTGACAATGCCTGCCACTTACAGACAATACTTTATCAGGTCAATACAACAATCAACAGCCACACAGTAGCCACAGCTGTTTGACAATGCCTGCCACTTGCAGACAATACTTTATCAGGTCAATACAACAATCAACAGCCACACAGTAGCCACAGCTGTTTGATAATACCTGCCACTTGCATACAATTCTTTATCAGGTCAATACAACAATCAACAGCCACACAGTAGCCACAGCTGTTTGATAATACCAGCCACTTACTAATTGCTGACAATACCAATAGGCCCCCATCCAAAAAGTTCTGCTTCCAATTACATGGCATTTGAAAACAGGGTAATAGGTAAGGTTTTTTTTTTTGGAGGGGGTATTTTTTGACAGGGATCATGTTTCAGTCAATACCAAACACCAACTGTGGACAGCACTTTGTCAAGTCAGTCCTTCTGATTTGAGGTGTGCGATCACACCCCCACACCATCGCACACCTAAAAGCTTCCCGCGAAGTGTGAACAATTGCATGTCTGAATTTCCCTGGACCACAGATCACACACCTAGAAAATCACACACCTAGAAAAAATACACACCTCGAAAAGTCCAGATGAGCTTTTTTCCACACGCCTGTGATTTTCAAATCAGAAGGACTGTCAAGTCAAAAACAGTCAACAGCAATTTAGCACCCACAGCTGTTTTGACAGGGATCATGTTTCAAACAGTCAATACCAGCAACTTACTGACTATGACAGTACTTTAACGAGACAATAACAGTCAGCAAATATTCATTATCAACAACTGTTCAACGGGTCACAGTTGGTCAAGTCATTCTCATGGCCAGTTACTTAAGCAGTCAAAACGGGTCAATAATTTAGTTCTATGCATAGAATTCCATCGGGTCAAAAAACGGTCACCTGACTGATTTTGAGTATGCATGTTTGCATCGGAGGGTTCTAATGGGCCAAGTACATAAGTTTATGGATGTTGCATATAAAGGTAAAAGATGAGCTAGTATTTTTTCTCTTTTTTTCACTGCAAGGAAAAGGGTGCTAAGGACAAATTCAGTTTCTAATAGGCACTTCCAGTTACATTATTAAGCCATTTTACATTGTTGTCAAACGAGAATATCAGTTTTCAAAATGGCTTCAAATTTATGATGTGATTAGGGTAATGTATAAACAGGGAGAGACATTTTGTGACAAATGTCCAGCCTGTATGTACGTTTAAATCCTCATTATAAAATATCAAATAATTCTTCACAATGACTCTGAGTTTTCTAGGTTTTGACTGATAGCATTCCTCCAGGGTACATCTTCAAAATGACTCTGAGTTTTCTAGGTTTTGACTGGGTTATCATTATTAAGAAATATCTGAAAGGTAGAGCAAGAGGTGGGGGGGGGGGGGGGGAGAAATGTTCGAATTAACCCCACAAAGCAGTGCCCCACTACCAGCACTCTTTATTTGTGGGAGAACATAGAAGAGCGCCAGATCACCCATTTTGATTACTTGTTTCTGCTTATTCTTTAGGTACATGTAACTAAAAACTAACCTCAAGAATCAGTAATGGGTAGCCCAGCAAGCAGGTCATCCGTTCATCTGTCGGTCCTCCTCCCTGCTTCCGGTTCCTCGGGTTTCTGTTTGATGAGGCTGTCGGAGCCCTGACGATGTCTTGAGGCAGGCTCAACCTCATCTCAGTAGAGCAATTCCCTCATCAGTCAGTGGTCCTCACTTTGCTGAAAGGATTCAAATAACGAAAGGAAAAATTTGAATTATTGAGCTGTATTCGTGCCAGGGCTCAAAAGGGGAAAGAAAGCATTGAATTAACTCCACAAAGCAAAGCCCTGCTACCAGAACTCATTTGTGCACGAACATAATAACAGAGTCAGATCGCCCATTTAAATTTGTTCTGTGACTTGATTGTTCCTGTTAAGAGGAGGCCTATACACAGCCTAAAAGCAGAACAGGAAGGGGACAGACCTCATTTATCCCAGGACAAACCAATAACACCAGTTAATAAAGATGTGCTTCAAACTATGTTACAAGGCTATGATGGCATTAAGTACAAATTCTTAATTCACGGTTTTACAATTGGTTTTTAGGTTTTACAGGCAATCAAAAATTTAGGACATCAACAAATTTAAAATCTGCTCTTCAAAATCCAAAAGTGGTTTCTGAAAAACTAGGGTTAGAACTTAGACAAGGTAGGCTCGCAGGGCCGTTTCAAGACTTGCCACTTGATAATTTTTGCGTTAGCTCGATTGGTTTAGTTCCTAAAAAACAGCCTGGTTCATTTTGAATAATTCATCATTTGTCTCATCCTAAACATGGTTCCGTAAACGATGGAATACCAGATTGCAACACAACAGTCAAGTATGCGTCAACGGAGGACGCAATACAAATGTTGAAGAAAGTGGGCCCAGGATGTGTGCCATCTAAACTAGATATAAAGTGTTAACCATTTATTCTGGAATAGTCCATATTCTGGATGATTTTCTAATCATTTCAACATCTCATCAACAGGGTGTGCATGATTTGGTCGGATTTCAAACACTGAGTAATAAGCTGGGTATTCCCCTTTCACCAGAGAAAACTGAAGGGCCTACAACCTGGCTAACATTTGCCAGGATCGAACAAGATACAATACAGTGGCAATGGCCGCGCGGTTACCGCCGGACAAATTACAAAAAGCCATCGTTAAAATTATCAAAATCTATTATGTACACCATTTCATACTGACATTTCAAAGACATACACAATCAGTTTTTACTGAAATTTTTCGAAATGAAAAGTATAGCATTTGAGAACGAGTTTAATGCAAACTTTGAATACATATTTTGATAGGAAATCAAGCACTGTATATTTTGCATGCGGGGGGTGTTAAAATACCACCCGAGGAATCATATTTCTTCATATACAGGTCTCTTTTTGTTTCTAAAATAAAACTCACCACAAGAATTCCAAAGAGCATTCACGGTAGTGGTCACAAGGCCGCGGGTTGACGGCTCTGGTCAAGTCCGTAGCTCGGCACCTCGGGTCAAGGCATGGTCGATGACTCGGGCCAGTCCGTAGGACGACACCCCGGCGCAAGGCCGTGGGCCGACGACTCGAGCAAGTCCGTGGGACGACACCCCGGCGAAAGGCCGAGAGCCGATGGACGACTCGGGCCCGTTCCGAGGGCCGGCACCTCGGGAGTTTGCCGTGGGCCGCCGACTTGGGCCAATTCCGTGGGCCGCCACTTACTCGGAGCATGGCCGTTGGCTGAAGACTCAGGCCAATTCCGTCGGTCCGCACCATTGGGTCAAGGCCTTGGGGTCATCAACTCGGGTCAAGTGTTCAAGTGTTCAAGTTGCACAAGGCCGCGGGTTGACGGCTCTGGTCAAGTCCGTAGCTTGGCACCTCGGGTCAAGGCATCGTCGATGACTCGGTCCAGTCCGTAGGACGACACCCCGGCACAAGGCCGTGGGCCGCCACTTACTCGGAGCATGGCCGTTGCACAAGGCCGTGGGTTGACGGCTCTGGTCAAGTCCTCAGCTTGGCACCTCGGGTCAAGGCATGGTCAATGACTCGGGCCAGTCCGTGTGACGACAACCGTCAACCGCCACATACTCGGAGCATGGCCGTGGGCCAAAGACTCAGGCCAATTCCGTGGGTCCGCACCATTGGGTCAAGGCCTTGGGGTCGTCAACTCGGGTCAAGTGTTCAAGCGCTCAATCCAATCGAGATCCAGGCCTTAGAGTCTGCTGAAAACACTGCTAATATCAACCTCTCAAGAAGCGTAGTCACGGTGGAGTCCATTCATGAGGTGGGATGACGTTCCACACGGTAAATAAAGTTGTTCACTGTTGAAGAGTGAGAAAAAGATCCATTAATGGGGGGCGGTGTGGATTCAGAATATGTTTGAGTTAAAAGAAGAACGGAACGAACAAAATTCATCTGGAACACAATTTAAGTCAGTTAACGGTTGCAATGCATATGAACAGGATGCATCAAGAACACGGCAGTTTCACGCATAAAAAAGTACGCCCTCTGTTGGCGAGATGGAGTTAGTGGTAATACCACGTGACAATCTAGCGCGATGTAAATAAACATTACGCGCAGCAATCCCTTCGTTTCGTTGGTGGATTTAAATACCCCGCGAAAGATATAAAGATTGATTGGTTTATTAAAATGAATATGCAACAGATTACCAAATAAGGCTCTACAAACCATCAATGAAGCTATGTACGGTCGACAGTTGCCATATAGCGTGCACAAATTCTGATAATGTGTGTTTTTTATGCAGCGTGTGACTTGTGACCTGGTACGATTTAGCGTTTTCGTGCCGTCATTTCCACTTCGAGAAAACATCATTTTTAAAGTAAAATACAGTTTTGTGACGCATACTTGGTCAATCTATCAATAAATGGGTTATCTAGGTTCACATTGATATGGACGAAAGGTTTGGGTCGACATGCTTTCGTGAGATTTTAGCCAATACTGAGGGTGAATAAAACAGGAATTTGTCAAGTCGCGATGTACGAAGTGTACATGCAGTGTCATGGCGTGACGAGTGGGGACCTTCGAGGCCATGTTTTGGCATGATTTCAGAGATTCAGATGGAAATCTCAAAGGTAAGCCTACAGATTATGTATTTACTCTGCTCAGAAGATGTAGTTTTTGTAGTTTCTCCTTGTTTTTAGCCTGCGACACAAGGATTTTGTGTACGTACGCCGCGCCATGACAGGAAGTCATTACAGTAATGTCGTACATGAAACAGTCGTAGCGTAGGCGCCTTGAGCTATCCCACAGCACGCACTTTTGGACGACGCAACGACTCGTGTATGCAGAAGACTTTCATCTCAGAAATATTTCTGCCCAGTGTGCCTTGCTAGTTGCAATTACTCAGAAAATCGTATTCGTAACAAATAATCACAATGCATTCCTTAATCCTAACAGTCCTGAATCCTCCAATTTCAATATGATTTTTACATTTCATGTATAGTCAGTGTGGTCAGGATTTGCTGGCATGCATCATGCAGAAACATGATGATGGAGGAATGGAGGTCATTCTTTGCAGGCAGGAGCCTGACATTGCTCATTTAATTAATGTTCTTGAAAACTTCTCAAGGAAACTGTGTACTGTATGTTCTAAATGCGTAAACAAAGGATTTGACATGTAGGCCCTACATGTAGGTTACATTGCCAGGGCCGTCATTAGGCTTTTCTTTTTCGCCCTCAGTCATATAATTGTAGAGTATTTTGTCCATTAATTTCAATTTTGACCTGGGACTAAAATGACTTGAGACTTAGTTGACATTGGACCGACTTTATACATTTGTACCTGGGACCAAGTTGACCTGGAACTGAGTTGGCCATGCTGTCTCAGACGGTCAGACCCCGTCAGTTAGGGACCAAGTCGTTAACAGTCTTGTGGTTGTTGGGTACCGAGTTTACTCCAAACCCATGTAATGCATGCTCTTGTTCTTGTTGTGTACAAACACAAAAGTCACGTAACTGTACAAGAACTTAAATGTGTACTTTAATTTGCCATCTAGACCTATTGGTTGTCTCTCGGACGCTGTGGAGGAGGTTGGCCTACATTTCTTCTTATGCGGAGTGTACGGCATTCCACCATGACACGCAGATGACGTACCCTGCCCTGACGAAGGATACCTTCAGAAAATTTGACAACTTTCATCGGTGAGCATCTTGATATTATTTTACTTAGAAATTGATCATGGCATGTATGTACATGCATGTATGTACATGCATGTACATACATCATGTACATGTACAAGTACATGTTTACATGTATGTCTGTGCCTATAGAAAAAGATAAAATATGAAACTTTCTTATCTTCTATAGTTTTTAACACTCAAATTCAATGCAAGAAAAATTCCAGCAAAGTTGTTTAAGATAAGGCACAGACAAAAATCTTGAAAATAACCTGGCAATAATTTTCAACAGAGACTTTTGAGACGCTTCCTTTTACCTGTCCTTTTCATTTTTTTTACGTCACATTTAACCTAATGTGCACATGTTCAAATTGACGTCAACACCAGAAAAGGACTGGTGTATTTGCTGCCACCATGCATCTCAAAGTATCCCATTAACTTTGTTCCATTTGTTATATTCTTGTTGTGCTTTCAGGTTTTGGAGAGTTTCTTCCTATTTGAGATAGTTTGGGAATTTAGGAGATAACTGACATCCCCCACAGTGCGACACTTTTAGAGCGCACCCATGCATTTTCGGTTTCACGAACTGACACTGATCTTAATTTTACCAATTAAATCGCTTTTTAAAAAAAAATTTGTACATGTATAATCGCACAAGTACACGGATAGATGTAATGCCGCATCATGCTTGGGTGTCAGTTCGTGAAAACAAAAATGTACGGGGTGCGCTCTAAAAGTGCTGCAGTGTGGCGAATGTCAGTTCGTAAAATAACAGCGTTGCTGTTGAAACCCCTCAGCCAGAGTCAAGTTATCATCCGGAAACCATTAACTCAACATGGTGACCTTGACCTTTGGCCTTTGACCCCAGAACCAGTCCCAACATGCCTGTACCAATGGGAAACCCCCTACTGAAGATAAACACGAAAATTTCATTTCTAACTCAAGTT